AAGGTCAGCCTGAACTGCACAGGGAGACCCTGTCTCAAAAAGACACACACACACAAAAATGTGATATCCACAAGGTGACAGCGTTGGCCAGCAGCAGTGGCCATGGCCTTTCTGAGCACCTGGCTTCACTTTATCCAGGCAATGGTGTTGGTGATGTGTGTGAGGATGACTTTGACAATGATGCAGTAGTTGATCCCCTGGACGTGTGTCCTGAGAGTGCAGAGGTAACCCTCACGGATTTCCGGGCCTATCAGACTGTCGTCCTGGATCCTGAGGGTGATGCTCAGATCGACCCAAACTGGGTTGTGCTCAATCAGGTACTTAGGGCACTGGGGTGGGCAGGTGCTGTCACACCAGACCACAAGGTGGGGCCTGAGTGGGGCAGCGCACCTGGGCCAGAGCTTTTTTCTTTATTTAACAACCCAGGGCATGGAAATCGTTCAGACTATGAACAGTGACCCTGGCCTGGCAGTTGGTATGTAAGGGATACCCAGTTCAATAACTTCCAAAGGGGGCAGAGGGCAGGGGAACACATGGTTGAGGAGGATGGACAAAGGCAAGTGAGAAGGCAGTGGGACAAGCTGGCTACACATACAGCACACCCCCCCATGTACACACACACACACACACACACAGTGGGCCAAGAGTAACCTTGTTGCCTCTGCCCTTTATCTGACCCCCACCCAGGATATACAGCTTTCAATGGTGTGGACTTTGAAGGCACCTTCCATGTGAACACAGTGACTGATGATGACTATGCAGGCTTTCTCTTCAGTTACCAGGACAGTGGCCGCTTCTATGTGGTCATGTGGAAGCAGACGGAGCAGACCTACTGGCAGGCCACACCTTTTCGCGCCGTTGCCCAGCCCGGGCTGCAGCTCAAGGTCTCCTAGCTGCCCGGTTTCCCCAACCCAGGGACCTTCCCCAAGTTCTTCCCGTCCAACCCCTGGACCTCCCCCGTTGTCTACCTGGGAACCCTCTTACCCAGCGGTCCGACCTGAAGGTCGGCTGTGGGGTTCTAGGGAACTCTCCTGACTCTCTTTGACTTGCTTTCCCAACGGTACTTACACCTGTCTCCCTTCTCTATGGTCCCGTGGTTGACTCACTGTCTTTGCCAATGACCCTCAGGCAGTGACATCGGTGTCTGGCCCAGGGGAGCACCTCCGGAATGCCCTGTGGCATACTGGCCACACCCCTGATCAGGTACGACTGCTGTGGACTGACCCACGAAATGTGGGCTGGCGAGACAAGACCTCCTATCGCTGGCAGCTACTGCACCGGCCTCAAGTTGGCTACATTCGGTGAGGAAAGGGCCTGTGTCCTCTGGGGGCACTCCGGGCCTGGCCTTTCCTTTCCCATTAGCTGGGACTCACCAGTGACCTTCCCTCTGTTCTGCTTCTTGGTGCAGGAGTAGGGAGTAAGGCCGCTTCCCTCCACCTCCCTTCTCATCACAGGCATGATGACCTGTAGGTAGTGTTGGGTACATCATTCCTCCTCTGTGCCTCACTTCCCCTCTGTAAAAAATGGGCTTTGAGCTAGATGCCCTTTCCAGTTCCCCCAGAACCGCTTAACCTCAGGCCCACCTGTGGAGGGCCCATCTGTTCCAACCCCTGAAGTGGTACAGCCCAGAACCTGCTTCATCACGATCTCACCTGGAAAGGATCATCAACATTTACAAGAGAGCAAATGAAGGCCCAGATCTCACAGGCCTCTTACTTCAGTACTTGGTTCACAACTTTGCATTTTCTTCTCCTGAGAATCCCTAGTTAGTGGGAACGACTTGGGCAGGGAGAGGAAATGGGCCTGCCCAGAGCCTGGGCTTTGCAAGCCCAAGAGCCTAGTCTAGGGTGTTGGGCTGGTTCCCCTTTAAGGTGCCTGGGGCTATGGGGCGCCAGGGTGAGGGATAAAGGGGGTGGACTAGAGCCTGGGAAGCGGGTGACTTCACCCCCCAGCCCATTGTGCTCATCGTCATGGCAACCCAATCCTTGCTAGGAATGCGGCTGGTGCTTTGAGATGCAAAAGGAGCCGGACAAAGAGCTAGGGGCCCCAGGCCTGAGAAAAACACCCCCTTCCCTCCCCTTCCCTCCTTCCTCTCTCAGGCCTGGGGAGCTGGGGGGAGGTGGCAGGCTGGGATGAGCAGGGCCTGAGCCAAGGTGGCACAGCGCCCACTGACACCTTAGCACCAATGAACACCCCTATCCTGGACAGGGTGAAGCTCTATGAGGGTCCCCAACTAGTAGCGGACTCTGGGGTGATCATTGACACATCCATGCGAGGGGGGCGTCTCGGTGTATTCTGCTTCTCCCAAGAAAACATCATTTGGTCCAATCTCCAGTATCGGTGCAATGGTGAGGCTCTACACCAAGACCAGCCTGACCCCACGTGCCCTGGGAGAGCCACCTTCTCTGACCTTACTCATTTCCGCTTCTTCAGACACAGTACCTGAGGACTTTGAGCCATTCCGGAGGCAGCTGCTCCAGGGAAGGGTGTGAGGAGGTGGCCACCGGATTCAGAATCCTGACTTTTAGACCCTTTGGCCTTGGGGTCCATCCTGGAGACCCTGGGGTCTAAACCACAGCCCCTCAGCCAAACAGATCCTCCTCTGGGTACAACAGGAGTTAAGCCCCGGAGGGTTAGTGCTCTCACTGTTCAGGGCTTGGGAAATTTTCAAGGGGTATTACTCAGGTTCTAACCCCAGGAAAGCTAACAGCACATTGCCATAAAGTTTCAGTTGTTTTCTATGCCAGTGCAATTGCTTATTTTAGGAATTTTTTCGGAATAGCGTGGGGAACAGGAAGGAACCTGAAGAGGTGGGGGACTGGTAAGTTGAAAGTTAGAGATCTACAGAAAGTTTGGCTGAGTTTGGGGTGGGTGGGAGAGGAGCCAGGTGGGGTTAAATGAAGGTTGATGGGGTATCGGTGAGTAGCTAAAGTGCTCCCAGTCCTACTTACTGTGGCAGCGGCGACACTCCCGTTTATCTTAGATCATCCGGATGGAAAGCCAGGAGGGTGGGGTCTGCCCCGCTCGGGGTGAGGGGGAGGCCGGGGGGCCGAGGGGGCCGGAGGCCGGGACGAGTGCAATATTGGCGGGGGAAAGAACAACAGTGCACCGCGTCCCGTCCCTCCGGCCCACCCGGGGCCCGGAATCCCACTCCCCACCTCCGTTAGTCCGGAGGGCTCAAGGACCGAGGGGCGCGCAGGGGAGTTGGGTTCACCTTAGAGGCAGGCCGGAGACTCGGCGCCCGGAGCGGTGAAAGGGACAGTAGCGGGGAGGGATGAAGGGGAGACCGTGGTACCCCTAAAGGCCACTTTCCTACGCCTGGGCGGTGCGCGCTTGCTCTTTAAATACTCAGACTGAGCTCCACGGAGCCGTCGCCATGGTGACGCGTGTCCCAGCAACCGAACTGAATGGCTGTTGCCCGGCAACTCCTGGAGTGGAGGTTTGGGGCCGCCCACCTGGATACTCGCGCTTTCTCTGGTGGCTGACGGGGGGCCTTCCCCGCCTCCAGTCGCGCCGAGGACGCTCTGACGCCGCCCCAGCCTGACGCCTGACGCCGCGCCTCCCCGGCCCAGCGGGCGGGAGCGGGGTCCCCAACTCTCTGACCCGGCTTCCTCCGATTCGGCGCGGCGCCGAGAATTAGTTTCCAATCTGTATTGGTTGGGCCCGTGAACTGTTTGCCCAGCGTAGTCGTAACAGCTTCTATTGGCCCCTAGACTGTAACACGGGGCCGCTGGACCCAACCTGGTGCCCTGTATGTGCTTCTGTGGTCCCAAATACCTCACTGCCCCCAAATATTTGCCTCTAAGAGCACCTGTCGGTTCCCCAAAACTACACACTCTCACATACTGCTTTGTTCCCCACCACAAGCGTACCTGCCCCCAAATACCACTGTTCTCCCCAAAGAATAGTTTTGTGCCCCCAAATTCCATGCTGTTGCCTCACCTACTCTCTGCCTCCTAAATATGCAGTTGGCCTCCAAAACCAGTGTCGCATCCCCACTCCCGCATTCCGATGTCCTCTCCCACAAACCCCAAAGTCCCTTCCACATACCTCAGGACCCCACCCATAGCACCGTTTCCTTCAAACAGCACCTCCTCGGGCCTGAGCCACCCCCCCACCCCCCACCCCGCGTGCTCCATGTCTGTCCAGAGCGTTAGCTCCTTCACCAGGGATCTCTGTATCCGGGTTTGGGCTGCGTCTGACCCCTCTACCGGGTCGGGGGCAGCCCCTCCGCGCGCAAAGTGGCCAATGAGGTTGCCGGTGGCCGCGAGAGGGCGAGCGCTCCTGCACAGCGCACCCGGCTGGCCACCGCTCAAGGTGCAAAATTGGGAGGGAAGGATCTCAGGGTTCGGCGGAGGCCAGGTTTCGTCCTCCTTTAAGTGGAAATTTCCCCCCCACCTCCCTCTCGGGCGAAAGCCAAGGAGGGAACCTAGGCTGCTGGAAAGTCTGGCCGGGGCGGGGACTGTGGGTTTCAGGGTAGAGCTACGCGTGGAAGGACAGGGAGCGGTTCCAAGGTGAGGCGATTCCAGGAAGTGGCGGGGGGCGGGGGGCGGAAGGTCAGAATGGGCACCTTGTCCACTCATGGTCAAGCCCTCTTATTCCGTCTCAGCCCGCATGGTGGAGCTCCAAAGGACCGAAGAGAGTAAGGGAGTGGAGTGCATCTAAGGTGGGCTTCCACCTTGCCGTCCCCCTCCTTGACCAAGCACGCTCTCTCTGCTCCCTTTCTTCACCTTGGCTGTTGTCCCGGGTCCTAAGGTAGAGCAGGGGCCCCAAATCTCAGACTCCCCACTCCCGCTTCTGGAGTCAGGGAGTGGCTGGTGAAAGGGGGAGGCCAGTTGGAAAGCAAACAGGTTGTCAGAAGATTGACTGATTGGAGCCCACATACCCTGCCCAGGAATGGCTGGGGAGGAGGAGGAAAAAGTAGGAGGCAGAGAAGGGGGGAAGGGGCGGGGCGTTGTCACCTGTCACCTGCTCCGGCTGTGCCTAGGGCAGGAGGGGGGACCGGTATAAAGCAGCAGGCACCAGTGCCGCTCCACCTCACACACGCAGCGCTGGCCTGAGTCTGCTCTGTCCCCTCCCGCCAGTCCACCACCACCATGACACCAGGCACCCAGGCCCCTTTCCTCCTGCTGCTGCTACTCCTGGTGCTTACAGGTGAGGGGCACAAGGTGGGGTGGGGTCTACCCTGCTCACGGGGTCTTCCTGGCCTTTCTTTGGGTTTTGCTTCCTCACAAATGGCACCTCCAGACTCAAAAGTTGCAAACGGGTGGCCTGGCCTGTGGCCAAGTGGAGAGAGGCTAAGGACAGGCTGAGAAGAGGTGACCGCTTAAGCCGGGCGTGGTGGCGCACGCTTGTAATCCCAGCACTCGGGAGGCTGAGGCAGGAGGATCATTTCAAGTTCAAGACCAGCCTGGGCTACAAAGTGAGCTCAAGGCCAGCCTGAACTGCATAGAGAGACCCTGTCTCAAAAAGAAGAAGAGCTGACCCCCAAGAGAGTGGGCATCAGGGAGGGGGAGGCAAATGTTGTCCTGAAGAGAAGTCTAGGGGAGGAACTCAGGACAGGTAGTTGCAGGGCAGAGACAGTGTGGGAAGAGAGAACGTGGATGCCAAAAGGAAGGAGGAGGGCAGCCCCTGGGGCTGCTCATGCTGCCTGCTCCCCAAGCCTCCTGGTATTGCTTTTCTGGTTGCCAGAGGTTATATTTTCTCCTTGCTCTGATTTGCCCCCCAACCCAATGGCTCATACACCTCCTGGCCCTAGTCAGAGCAGAGACACAGAAACTTTGGCTGCCCAAGGCAGCCTGGTGCCCACCCATTGAGAGCAGTGCTGTGGGCATGACTAGCAGTTTACTCCCCACCCTCAGTCCTGGTTCAGGCTCTGCTGCCATTCCAGGCCAGAAGAACGTCACCTTATCTCAGAGCATCTCAAGCTCAGCTGCCCCTTCAGGAGGTGGTGTCAACCCCACTACAGCCACCCGGGCTTCTGCATCAGAGTCAGCCACCTCTACAAGTCACACCAGCACCTCAGCCCCAGCCACCACGAGCTCTACAGAAGCAACCACCCCTACAGCCCACCATGCTACCTTGGTCACAACCTCCAGCTCTACAGTAGGCTCAGCCACCCCTACAGTCCACTATGACACTTCCTTACCAGCTACCACCAGCTCTACAGAAGCAACCGC